TAGGTAATTGGTGATTGTAAATTGCCCATAGGGGTGAGTAAGAATAGTCATCTGTCTCTGTCAGCAGTCAAGCGAAAGAATGAAAGAAAATTAATATATAGTCTAAACTTATGCATCTTATTTGTTGCAGGAACTGGCACTGGGATGAGCCATCGTGTGGTAAGGAAATGTGCGTAGTTTTGTATCACCAGCCCTCTGAAACACTTGAGGGTCGTTTCCTGTTCCAGTGGAATGATGACAACTGCAGCTCCAAGAACAACTTTGTCTGCAAATACGCAGAAGGTGAGCTGGTATACCTCACACATACCAGTGATCTAGCTGGCTTAAGAGTGCTGGAAAATGTTAAACTTTGGTACTCTTGGTTGTTTTTTTAGTTCCTAAATCTACAAAACTAGAATTTTATTGTCTAGGGATCGCTGCTACAATGTATCCACTGCTGCCAGCAGCTAAAACTAAACAGAAAGAGTTTTAATGGTATGTTTTCTTACAACCGACATTAAAATATAGCTGATTACATGAAAAGAGGGGAAAAAATGACTCATTTCTTTCCATAAAGCAACCTTTAGTAGTCTCACCCATGTATTGCTTTCTTCCTCTGAATAACACTATTTTATTTCCCCGTTCTGCAGAAAAAGTACCAGTATTTACTGAGGACAGAAACACAGCATATGCAGGTACTTGTCAGCTTAGAAATGCTAATATTAGAACGTGATACAACGTCTGCTGTGTACTGTGCATTCTGAAAACAACCATGTATTCCATGTAATGTGATCGCATGAAAATTTTTATATTATACATAATATTCTGTATGTTCGATTACATTTTGTTTATTGTCCTTTGAGACACCCAACACCTGCAGGAAGCATCCTAATCAGATGCCTGAACCACTTCGACTGGCTCCTTTCAATGTGGAGGAGCAGCAGCTCTACTCCAAATCCATTTTGAATAACCAAGCTCTTCACCATTACTTTAAGGGAGAGCTCAGCCACCCTTCTCATTGCTTATATCTGCAGCCTCATTCTTTTGGGTATTACTACAGTCTTCATAAATACATAAAAGGCTAAAGAAAATTTATACATGCTTGTGACCTCTTTTAAACACCTTTTCTGCGAGAAACATGGTAAATGGGCTACATACCGTACTACATGCGTCATTCACCCATGCAAACATATTCATAAAAGCACTTTTTTTCTACTCATAAATCCTTTCTAGCTAAATTTCACACACATTACTCCGATAAATGCATTGGAGAGCAACCTGAGGTTCAGCATCGTGCCTAAGCATATTTGGTATGCAGACTGGAGCAGCCAAGGATCCAGCCACCAACCATATAAAGATAAAACACGAAGATTCTTTGGAGAACTCTATTTTTTTAACTGCTAAATTTTCTAGAAATTAAAATGCAACTGTCCTCTGCAGTAGAACATATGCGTCATATGCGTCAGCTGTAATAGTCTATCTATGGGTGAGTTTAGTGAAATCATACATTATGTGATATATATATATATAGATATAGATATATAGATATAGATATATATATATATATATCATGGAGTAATCGAATCATTTAAAATATCTTTCACACGCACCTGTTGATTTTGTTTTCTGGTTTCTCTAGTTCCATCTTTGATTCCAAGCATACTGTCAACCACAGAAAGTAATGAAAGGATAAAAATAGCACTACCTGAATCCTCTGGTAAGAAAGGAAAGAAAATATTCTTGATACTCTAAGGTATGTTTTGGGAAGCTATGAAAAACCACTGTGTCACAAGCAAAGTTCTTTTGTTCACAGTATCTTTCTCTGGCAACACCCTCGACATTTCCTACATCCTTTATCCGACTATCCCTGCGCTACTGTTGCTGTTGTTTGCAGCTGTTGGTTTCTTTTGCTACAAACAGCATGCTAAGAGGTAAAACAGACAGCTATAACAATTTATTTTTTTTAATGCATTTGATTATATGAGTATGTCCTGTTGATTTTAACTTTGGCCCTCCTTCATATTTAGGAGGAAGACAGAAACAGAAAGCTATCCCAGCAGATCAAAACAGTGGGTGCTAGCAACAGCTTCATCTTGCCCTGTGCAAGGACCTTATGCCTACAGTGACATTACCAAACTGCCTCACACTGCTCTGGACAGCAGGATAGCAGCAGAAATCATGACAAAGTACTCCGGTTCTCCGTCCCATGACTCCCTGTGCAACGATTATGAGAATGTGTCGTGTGTGGACAATGAGAGCGGCTTTGTCACCAATGACATTTACGAGCCCTGCAGAGCTCAAAGCCGGCGCTGCCGCAGTCAGACTGGATGGGTGGAAAATGAGATCTATGGATAACACCGGTGTCTGCAAATGTCCGTCAACCACAGACAGACTACAGTTACACTGTGCGGTGCAGGATTTCTAAACAGCTTGGCCATATCTGTACAGGTTTCACTCAATTTTCTAGTCCTGCATGTAGAATGTACTGTCTGCAAATCAGTGTATTCCATAAAACAGGGGTTCTTAATGTTTTGTCCATGACTTGGTATTCACGTACACATGACTTTATATTTCTGATGTTTTAATAAAAATGTGTTACAGTCAGACCAATGGCACTGTTAACTCCGTGAATCACTGTGATAGCATGCTGATAGATGTAGACACATTGTTTTCCATATTCACCATCGTAGTTTGGATGCCCAAAATTGCAGACTAGTTCCACACACTATATAAAGCTGAAGCCGATCAAATCTGATTGGAAAAGAAAAGGATGAGAAGTTGAAGGATTGCCAAAGTGATTCTGATGAGGGCACAAATGTGTGTATACAATTTCATAATAATCCATCCAACAGCTGTTGAGACCCTTACTGTAATCCACTAATCTTATAGTGGCACTTACTACATGACAGGCTATGCACTGAAATGCAAAGGCTGGAAACTGCAAAAATACAAAACCAAATCATGCCATAAAGGTTCCAATATTTCATAAGGTTAATGAAAAGTGGGTGAAGATATTACAGAAAAGTTAAAGTGGAATATCAAAAGCATTAGTCTATTTATCGCCTGGGGAGAATGCACAAATTTCCAAGGCAAATTTTGATCCTGTATTAAAGTAATTTAGGCTAAAGGGGCAGGCCATCTGATAGACTGCTGATAATGCTGTCCTTAAAAATTGTGTTATATTTTAAGTTAACTGAATAAATGGTAAGACCAATTCATCAAGCAGCTAAAGATGCAGGTCATGTGTGCACAGGTCTCTAAGCTAAGCTTACAGAATGGGCTTTGAGGGTTGTTGTTTTTTTTTAACTCAAAGAAAAACACATTTTTGTGCCCACTTATTTCCTTTGTTCAGTTTAAACCTTCGGCTCTAATAAATTATGCAACATTACAGCAGCACTAAAGTTTTTAGAAGTTTTTGGAGGCATTCATGAAACCAAAGAAGCATTAATAGTTCGGGTCAGCTTGGTGGTGCAGCAGCACTGCTGAATCTGACATAACAGATTATGCAATTAGCCTAATCCTGCAATATTGCACACCCACAGAGTTACTCATTTTGTAAACAATCGCACACTAAACTATTCAGCTTCTCTTTTTACAATAATGTCAAAGGATATGATGAGTCAGAAGACAGAGACGGTTTGCTTGTTGGCTTGCTGCTGTGATGGAGACTCCAACCCAGGGACTTTTTTGACCCTTTCTCTAAACTTGAACTTTGGTGTCATCCCTGCGTAAGGCTTCCTGTTTGGTCTCTGATGTCAGAGCCCAGCAGAGAACATGAGGGAACACCGATGGCTGAACTGCTGTGGCCAAAATAAACCTCAAAGTTGTGCGGTTTCCTGACCTGATTGTGCACGAGGTTCAACTTTCCCACTGATCTGACAGAAACTTGAGGCCAGTTTAAAATATATCACACCGTTAATCAGTGCATGTGCATTTCCATGTTCATTTTTAAAGATCACTCTTTACGTTACATATACAAATGTCTGTGTTTTTTTCTAAATGTGCACTGAGTGGGTGTTGGATCGGTGTCTTGGAAAGATGTAGCAAGCCCAGTAAGGAGAGGCTGAGTGTGTTCTTGGAGAATGTTAGACAGGAAATGCCAAAAGCACATCTGGAACTCTTACATTCAGGAAGTCAATGCGTGACAGCGGAGGCCTTCGGATCGCTGCTCTGCCTGCCTGCTTAGCAATCCACTGTTCTCCGTTTGACTGTCACTACACAACATGAAGAAAAGCAGTGCCATTTGCAGAGCTGTGCTGCAATTCCGACATGAAGATTGCTTCTTTTTCTGATGTGTAGTTAAGATATTTTGGCTGCATTCTTTGTTTAATAATAATATAGATATACTGGTGGGATCTGCTTTAAAGCTGCTTGAAAGCATGGAGCGTAATCAGTCAAGCACTGAGGAAAAGGAAAATATGGAGCCTCGCTTCAGTTTTCTACTTTTGCCAACAGATGGTGCTGTCATGTAGCTGACAAAAGTTTCTTTGTGGCTGGTAAAATGTCTGATTTTATATGGAGCTCTGCATATTCCATTATGTAATGTTATAGATTAGAAATAATGCACGTTGCATAGCTGGATTAATCAGCGATAGATAGATAGATAGATAGATAGATAGATAGATAGATAGATAGATAGATAGATAGATAGATAGATAGATAGATAGATAGAAGCACAACTAGCTGTTTGTTTGTTTTTTTTGCTTCTTAAATTTTTTTTTACTTTTTTTTGCAGACCCCACTCTGGAGGCTTTCAGGCCGGTTCAGACCGCTTTTAGCCCCTGTCTCCCCCTGCATTTTTCACTCGCAGCTGACAAAAGCTTATTAAACACCTGCAGGGCAAAAACTTCAAAGTTACCTATGCGTGCAATCAAGAAGGGCAGGCGAGCAAACAGATTTCAGAATAGCAATTTTACCGGTTGACGTAAGAGGTGGGTCTGGTTGTCCTGGCAACCAATTGGCACTGAAGTGTGGAGCGGCTCGGTGGCCCCGCCCCCTGTACAAATACCCCTATGGCTTTGACGTCAATACACGTCAACCGGAGAACATGATGCCTCTTTGCAAGTCAACTCGTGTGCTCTGTCGCTGATAGAGGCGCCTCAAGCTGAAATATTATAGCTCTATTGTACTGACGAACGTGGTGTGACAGCCCGCAGGCTCAGCAAATGGCCAGCTTCGTATCGCCACACTAGCGGACAGGGTCGCCACATTGGCGTTCAGGCGGCCGAGGGCGACACAGAAATCAACTTTGTGTATTTTAATGGACACGCTTCGAGCGACGGCGGCGGCAGCAGCGGCGGTGGCGGGCGGTTTGTTTTCCTTTCGTCTTTATCTCGAGCTGCTCAAGTAAGCCCCAGTCTGCCCCTCGTGTGTCCCTGCACGTCTGGCTGCCTCCTACTCTTCCACTCAACAGTCCCGTTTTAGAACAGCATGGTCATGGCTGACAGTGTCCAAAAACCGCTGATCCGGGGTCCGGTCCGAGTGGGCTTCTACGACATCGAGCGCACTTTAGGAAAGGGCAATTTCGCTGTGGTGAAGTTGGCCCGACACCGCATAACCAAGACGGAGGTGAGTGTGTGAGCAAACTAGTTAGCCCGAAAGCTAACTTGTGCTACTGTTTTAGCGGAGTTATATAACTTTTATGCACAAGTTGACACCCCTAGATAGCGAAATGCTCTCCAGCACCGTGCACTAAATAGCATCTTTGGATCACATAACTACCGGCCACTTGGACTGCTCCGGTTCGAGCAACAGCTGGTGTGCCTGAAAGCTTGCAGGTACAGGAGCAGTGAATGACTGCACGTTCACCCCTCTCAGCTGACATCACTGCCAGTAAAAAAAAAAAATAAAAAAAAAAAAGGTCTGACCACTAGCGCTGCTGGGAAACACAAACTGCAAACATGCACGCTTGATTATTATTTTTATTTATTTGATTTTCTGCACATGCATCCGTTGGGTTAATGACCCAGACGGTAGCCACAGTACCTACTCAAGAGTGGTTGGTGCCGTATCTGGGGCATGCAGCATGGGTCGGTGGTCCCCTTATGTAATTCAAGTAATGATGTGATTTTTTTTTTTTAGTTGTTTCTTATCCCAGCACTGCTCAGAGCTTTGTGATGAGCAGGGTATGTCATGCCAAATATGCTGTAATTGGAAAGCAAAGTATTTTGCATGCAGACACTGCTTTTTAGAGGGGTGGGGGGTCGAGGGTCTTAACTAAGCTTGGAGTGATATTACAAACATTGCACACTCTTAGGTAATGCAGCATGAGAGCAGAGGGAACAGGGCTCGGGGTTTGTGTGAGTGTACTTCTGGTTTTATGTCAGCTTTGTCAGAAGGGCCCTTTCTCAACCAGTACCACGGAGTGCCACGACTTTCTGCTGTAATGACAGAGACACAAGGAATTTGCTGTAAAGAGTGTTCAGTGAGAAAAAGATAAGGGCCAAAGAAAAGAAAAAAAAGCCGTATTGTGTGAGACAGTGATAAGACTGGAGAGTTGCTGCACACTTTGATCTCTGGAGCCTCCAACTGATTACACCATACAGAAAAAAAAAAAACAGATTTACATCATCCAGGCGAGACCCTTGGTAGGTTTAATGAATAACAAGGCAACAAAATGGCTCTGTAGACTCTTATCTTGTTACTCTGGTTATTAAAGCACGCAAAGTGGCACAGCATTAGTCTAGCCAGGTAATCTGCACCATGTAACATTAACAGCTCTGTGAATGCAGGTTTTAAGTTCAGGCAAACGTTACACCAGGTGATTTCAGTAAGCGACTACACCTTTCCCTCAGCTGGAGTGGTATTAAAGATGAATGAAAACATGGGTTGTTTTTTAGGCCGGGTTTGGTAGAGGTCACTCAGTGATGGTCAGTATGAAGGACAAATGCAGCTGCCTAGCTCTGGCAGTGGGCCTGGCACTGTTGGTTTTTAAATTTTTATTTTTTATTTTTATTTTACAGCAGCCAAGGTCGGCCCGAGTGGCAGGCTATTAACTTATGTGATGCCATCTGCCTTGAGAATTTGCCCGGGCACAAGCGGTATTAGCATAGTGTAAAGAAAACCAGTGTACTGACACATGAAACGGCAGATGTTGTGTTACGATGTGAATGTGTGGGCATATTCCCGGACAGGTTTATCTCTGTGTAAATAACCTACTCTTTCTGTGCGTGGCCCCTGCATGTGATACTGACCCATTCATCCCAGTAAGTACATATTGCAGCTTGTGGCTTTACATACTGTTGAGCCATTCCCTTCTGGTCTTGTGTGTCAAGTTGTACATCTATCCATATCTGATTATAGCGTCATCATGTCTTTCTGCTTTCATTGTATGAGCTAAATTCACCTCTAACTCATTGTCCTCCAGTGACCTTGTGCCAGCACAGTTCACGAGAAGTCTTGTGTGCTGTGTGTGGGTTTAGTTTTGTTGACAATGTAATCAGGTAGCACAGATCTTTTCATGTTAGGTGCTCTGTTGTCCCTCTGTAGCAGAACAAAGATTTTGAATCTCATGCCCGAAGGGTCTGCACAGGTAGCTGGAGTGCCATTAAAAGATTTCGATTTAATCCTGAATTGAACGCTTGCCTGTACGTAGCTAGGGAGATGATAATGGAGAGTGTTAAACCTATCAAAATACCCATTGCTGCTCATCTGTAAGTCCAAACTGTTAATATGTTAAAGGCAGGTCAGTAAGTTATAGATCTGTCGTTAAAATTAAAAGCAAGAATGCATTACATTTCCTTGACTTACTTGAATAATACCACTTCACTGACACAGTGGGCTTGAACCCAAAAACAAAATATGCAGTGCGCCGTGATAGTCGATCACTGCAACTTTCCTGATGAAAATTTTAGTAATGTGAAAAGAATCTGCTGTTTATATGATCGTCACGCTGCAGACAAAATGCCTGTGATAAGTGCCCGGATGAAAATCCAGTGTCAGACAGTATTATTTTGGAATCAGATAAATCCTCAAACCACATGGCTCTGTAACCCAACTTGCCTTTCTAAGATAGTACCCTATAGTCTGTGCTGCCACATTCTTGTTTTGTCTAAGCAGCTCCAGAAGTCAAATTTATTCAGTTTTATATCATGGAAGAATTGGAAAAATGTTAAATATTCACGTTTCTGAAGCAGTAACTAGATGTTTTTTAGAGATAATTGCTTAAAAAGGAACTTGAATAAATAGCCACTATTTTGGTAGCTGATTAGGGCTACTAAAAACCTTTAAAAAAATAAATAAATAAATAAATTCAAAAGTTATATTCCTGTATTTCTTGTTTTGGTTTTTATTTGAATTTCCCAGAAAGTCAAAATTCAGACTTTTTCCCCCACTCAGAATTAAGAATTTCTTTTTTGCCCTCATAATTCTGTGTGTGGGTGGGTAAATTAAAAAAAAAAAAAAAAATCAAAGTCTAATAAATTCTTTGAAAATCTAAATTCTGACTCAGAATTCTGAATAAAACATTTAAATCTAAAAACTTGATGTTTCAGCTCAGTGCTTTAAAATCCTGCCCTCAGGTGAGTTTTCTAGCTCAGTCTAACGGTGGTGTGATTGTCGGGGTCCCCTGTTGTTTACTCGTTCAGCTTCGCTCACAGATGCTTGGAGCACTTCTGATGAAATGCTGTTTATGAGACAATCTAAAGATGAGATGTTAATGTTGCTCTGCTACTTCCCGGCCAATGTTAATCAAAGCCAAGCGTGTTGGAAGTTTTGCGTGTGTGATTTACACTTGTTCGTGTCATTGTGGCCGTGTGTATATCCAGTAAAGCAGGTGGTTGCATCAGTGGGATCTCCGATGTAATATTTCATTATTTGAAGGCTGTTTACGGAGGTTTCGGTACAAGCTGTAGTTATCTCACGAACAGTTTTCTTATTTCCACAAAAAAAAAGGCACAAAGAAACCCCGAAGAGGAGCAGACTGTCCGCCTTTGTTGCTTGGAGAACATTAAATTCCTGTCTGCACTAGTGTTTGCGTAAATCTGGGGAGCTCCTTGTCATTGTCCATCAAACTCTGATGAGCTTTAACAATGACTCCGTTGTGTGTTATTAAGAAACTGATTGTTTACAGTTGTGTTGTTGATGCTTGATTCTGCAGGTGGCCATTAAGATCATCGACAAGACCCAGCTGGATGCCGTCAACCTGGAGAAGATCTACAGAGAAGTTCAGATCATGAAAATGCTGGACCACCCCCACATTATTAAGCTCTACCAGGTGAGTCTCTGGCTTCATTGTGTGTAGCGTAGCATCTTTTGAGTGCCAGATGGGGACTAAACGATTAATCTTTTTCGATGTGCTGATTTCATCTTTCTACTTTGATTTGGACTACAGCATGGCACGATTTTTTTTTCTAGTCTCTGGTGCATTTTATGTCTCTCCCAAAAGGAAATATTTGTTAATTGTTATTCCCCTGTGTTGCAATGCTGTGAAGATAAGTAGTCTAGTGTTAATTTTTTATTTTTTTTTTTTTAAACTTAGCGTTTGTCTCCCACTTGACAAGCCTTGATCAAGAGTTTTTCCAGAGATTTATTTCTGTCTTGAGTGCTTAGATCTGACTTTTTCTTTAACCCATCCAATCCCAATCTCTTGCGATTTGTCACAGACACTGTAGAGGTGATGTTGGAAGAATGCCCAGAGTACTGCATATATTTAAACAGGAATTTAACAATTTACGAAAAAGTTTGTCGGAACTTATTAAAAGCGTCATCACACAGGCCCAAATTAACACGCGCTGCTAGAGTGTTTTCTAATGTAAACTGCTGTAATGGGTGCTCTGGCTTAGTCTTTATCATCAATCAGCCCTAACTGTGCAAACAGTCTCACAAAAAAGACAGAAAAAGAACATCATGGGTCAATATTTGTGGTTGGGGAAACAATGTTTTCGGGTGAGTAAGGATAACATGCTTCAGAGTGTGGAGTAATTTGTTGAAAATGTACATTGATGAGGACATTATGAGTCATTTTTCTTTCACCCAGAAAAGTTTTCCAGAGCCTGTTGATATTACTTTCGTCTTTTGAATGAATACGTGCACTTTTCCACGTCTCCAGTCAAAGTTTATCTTTGTGAAGGCAGGGGCGCGATTGTAATGTGTAACATGCAGTGACTGTGTGGACCCAAAGTAACAGCTGTTGAAGGGCCCAAGAATTTGCAAGGAGACATTTATGTGGAGGAGAACTTGCTGTTGTAGTAGTAGCAGTAGTAATAGTAGTGTGAAAACGCAGGAGCAGTCCAGGTCATTTTCTAATGCATAAGCACACAACTGTGGCCTAGCAGAACCTGCCATTGCAGTTAAAGATATGAGTGCATAGTTAATGACTGACTGGCTCTCTGTACTTATTTCATCTCTGTATGTGTTGCACACTGTATGAAGATACCAGCGGCAGAAATTTAACAAATTATTTTTGGATTCATCATATGTGACGTGTGTTTTAAAATGAGTTGTAACTGACTGCTCGACTCCAGCACGAGTCACCGCGTCAGTTTGTATTTGCTAAAACAAACTGAAACCACAAATGTTCCGTCAGACCTTAATTCACCATCTGGCAACAGCTTTATTTTTCAGCATGCACTGTCAGTGCAGTAAAAGCATACCTGGATTTAAAAAACACAAAACGCACACACACTTTGTACCGCTATCATTCATAGATTGACCTCCCCATAGAATTGTGCGGCACATGAATGTCCTTCAAGAAGCCTGGAGAACTATTCCCAAAGACTACTTAAAGAAATTACAAGAAGGTTTGCCTAAGAGTTCAGGCTGTGTTGAAGAATAAAAAGGATTTTACTTCCAGCTTCAAGCTTGCCTTGTGTACTGTTTTTATTTACGTTTGCACATATTCTTAAATTTTGTGGGCACCATCAGCAAACAATGCCAGTTTGTTGTTTTCTTTTGTTTTTTTTAATTTGCAGTAAAATGTCTCTTTGCCTTGAGCTGAGATTGTTTTCAGATGAAGTATGTTTCAGTGGTTTCTTCACCAAGTTGATTTTTGGGTGATATCATGAGCACAAACCATTAAATAGACAAGAATGCTGAAGAACATGAACTTTTTTCTTCCCCTTCTGCAGACAGAGGAGCCAGTATGTTATACTTCAGTGTTATACTGGTTTACATCTGAATGCACGAGACACAGTCCAGAGTTTGATAATTGGACATTTAAAGGTGAACTCTGGTATTGCTCCTTTCCCCACAGGTTTTCTCGTCTGAAGATATCCTGACATGTTGCAGTAGAAAATCACTGGGTACATAAGGAAAATAAATGTTGGCTATGTTCCCTTCAGAGTTGGAGTTCTGGTGTTGTGCGTGTGGTTCGTTGTCAACCTGTCATGAGATACTGGGATGCTTGAATAGATTATTGCTGCTGTTAATGTTATTATTAAGAGCTTTATTTCTCATTTCTCCTATGGAAAGTCAAAAAGTATGTTGTTGAACAAGTGTATTTCACTTTGTACACACTTTTTTTTTCTTCTTCTTTTTGATTACATGCTGCTAATTGGGGTGAATGTGATTTTATTTTATTTTAAATGTGGTAATATTAATGTTTTTAATTCATTAGTACTATTAAACCAGAGCACATTATTAGCAGTATGAGCATATACTGAAAATATTTCAGGGAAATAAATCCTGCATCTAAATAATTTCCCATGTGCCACCTGGGCACTTTTACAGCATTCAGATAAATTCAGTCAACTCACAAAATAGTGTTTTCTAAAGTGAACGACCGTGATTGTTGGACTCTCTTGGTGTTTTAGACAGCCGAAGGTAAACTCATTTCACATAGTTACCATGATGGCCGCTGCTTTTCACAAAATAACCCTAACCACTGATAACTCAACAGTTTTGGTGATTCAGTTGTATTACATAAGCCTTTGGGTCCTGTTACATTTACTGTGTAGGAAAAGTAAATGAGCGTTCATTATCATTACACAACCATCTGGCACTGTTCCAGCTTTCTGTTGAGTTATTTTGGTGCGTATCATTATTTCCAGCAGCCTAACCATCCAATCAGCGCCGGTCAATTAGTGATTTCCTTTCCAATCTCATAAACTAGGATTGGCTCTGTGGCCCAGAGGAAAGCTGCTGCCAATGAAGGCGCACAAAGATACAGGACAGCGGATCCGGACTCTTGTTTTTCATGTGTCGTGTAGCCTTTTCTTGTATTGGCCCCTGATCTGACTTCCAAACTTTTTTTGTCCATCTTTTAATCCTCTGGCTGTTTTTAGGGCTTCAGCTCTCTGCTTTCGCTCTTATTCCAGTCGATGTTATTTATTGAAAGAGGTTTTGTTATTGAGAGTAATGCCAGTACAATGTGAGTGCTTCATTTGAATATGAGTCATACTAAAGAAAAATGCTTGAATCCATTAAGGATGGTATTGGATTGACCCTGACCCCATGTCAGTACACCGAACACTTCAATCAATGGTTGGTGTGAAAACCCATTCAGTTCATTACATTTAAAGCTATAAATCACTATTTCACAGTGCTTTTATTAAAACAATATACTATAATGTGATTAATACTAGAGTGGTAGCAGCTGCAATTATTATGTTATTTATTTATTTATTGGGGAGGGTTCCTATCTAACTGCAGTTAGAGGTAACTATAACTGACAGCTTATGCAAGCCAAACATATTTAGTTTTTTGGTTTTGTCAACTAAACTTTTTATTTTCATACTAAAATAATTTTTAAACTACAATAAGTTTTTACTGAAACTGCTGGAAATAAAGTGCTCTTCCACTGGAAGGATGTACAGATGATTAGTTGAAAATGACTTTCTGCACACCCACCTTTACCTGACACATTTTACCTTACCAAACAAAAGCATGTGCAACACAGTTATATGACCAAAAAAAACTTAATTTTCCAGTGTGTGGATTACTTCACCAGATAACAGGATATCAGACTTTTTTTCACCCAGTGCTATTATTTTCCTAATAACTGCTTTATTCCTTTGCTTATAACAAGCCTCCTGTCTTGTCACAGAGGTTTAGCTACTTACTGGCTTTGTTAGCTTCTTTAAGCTAACAATCTTCTGAAGGTGACTGAAGTGTCTAATTAGATTGATTGTTAGGTTTTCCACATGTTGGTGAATTTGTCTTCACGAGCACGCATGAAAAGGTCCAGCTCATCATCAAGCATAAGTGAAGCTGACCAGCCGATCACCGAGTCCCGAGTCTAGGATGTTGAAAATCAGCAGATTCATGTCATTGTCAGGTCAATAAGTCCCTTAATTAACAGAGGAAATTAGAGGTGCTCTTTATCACAGTCTGATACTTAAAGTAGACTGTATCTAAAATAATGTTGAATAGATCTTCAAGCGTGAAGTTATCTCAAAGGACGGCCAAAGCAGCCCACAAGCACTAACGCACAGTGCATTTCCATTTATTGGTTTTTAAAATTCAAACTATGACATTTTTCAGAATTTACTGCATGTCATCAAACTTCTCAAGCAGGACTGGCTATATCAAACCCCTGTAATTTTGTTTGTCATGAATTATTCATTGTCTTGTTTACTTACTTTGATCAGAAAGTCCTGATGATGAAAATTGCCTTGCTTTTTATTATTTCCACCACTTAGACTGTGATTGTTGTGCTTGTGATAGTTTTGTTTGTTTTTGTCACAGGTGTCAAAAATCATTCCCTGCAGTTGCACAAGAGCATCACTCTTGTTCACTAATGTGCATTACCTCTAAAATTAAAGTAGAAGAATAAACTGTAGATTTTTATCACATGGCAATGTTGGCACTTCTTGCAGATGTTGCCCAAAACATCTGCTGCATCTGTCTGCCCTTAGCTCTGCTGCCTTCCCGGATGTATGAACTTTAGAAAATGACCAACAATATAGGAAGGTAGCAATCCCATGTTTGTGTTATTCATGCACAGGAGAAGCTGTGAGATCAGCCACGGAATAAAAACTGCTCTCTCCCACAGTGGGCATTTTATCTTGTCAAACACGGGTGATTTAATATCATTAATAATGACTACATCTACTCAGGTGGGGCCAGTGCCAGGGCCCCACTACTCTCCATGCTGGTTTACTGGCACGCCGACATGAAACAGAGCCATCGTTAATACTATTAGTTACACCTGTGCTTTTCCTGCTGCGCCAGGTCAAAATGTCTGTTGTGAAAAGGTTTATTTTCCATTAGATGCTGTATTGGCTCTCAACAGAGTACCAATACCCAGATTTAATTCATCAATCGGTTGTAAACAGAGGACAGAGAATGTGTTTGTTACAAAACGAATACCAACCAAAAAAAGAGGAAGAAAAAGGCTTTAATTTCCTAAATCCATGAATTGGTCAGTGTAACAGATGGAAAATTGATCATAAACAATGAGCGTGGGATTTCTAGTGTGAATGTCTGGCTCGCTGTGTCTGATTCATCCTCTTCTCTGCATCTGACTCTCCCCTCCGCATTTCATTCTATTCATCTCCTGAGTGTTTCTGCTTCTAAATCGGTTCTCCTCCTCCTACACAACACGGCACCGGGTGAGGATGGAAAGGCTTTAAGTACCATTCAGATATACTCAACAACACCAACCGTCCACCTCCATTCTTTTACATGGTTGCCATATTTAGACCCGTGCCATTCATGCATTTAGTTTTTCTCACGATTTTACGAACGCCAGACACTGCAGTTTAAACACACATTGAGCCCTGTAGTCAATTGTGTGATATTTCTGGTTATTTTTATCTTTTGGGGTTTTTTTTTTAACTACTACTACTACTTCTTCTTCTTCTTTCTTTTTATTTTTTTAAATTTATTTTTACTTAATCTAATTCTTTTTGTGTGTCTCTTTTCCCCCACCCCCTCGGCCCTGTTCCTTCATCCTCTCCCTCTCTCAGGTGATGGAGACGAAGAACATGCTTTATTTAGTCACGGAGTATGCCAAGAGTGGGGAGATCTTTGGTGAGTGATCTTTTCAAGTATACGATCAGTCTGCCCATTGCTATTTGCGTTCTTCCCATATCAACTGAAAAAAAATGTACTCTGTTGCATCAGTAAGGTTTTTGACAAACAAGGAAGTATCAAAGTCTTGTTGAGCTTGAGTTGCTATTACGGTTATCCCAGCCTCAATCTCAAAGGTCATATGATTGATGCAAATCTGACACGAGTATCCTGTGACCCTTGTCATGTGCTGCTGGTAATTGTTGCAGTAAATGTGCTGACATTTCTTTCCTGCTGTATAAAATGACGTCACCCCAGGCCTGTAAAAGCTGCCAGAGGGCAGCCTCAAAGGGGAATAAGTTCGATTTATTACTATCTGTACTGCAGAATTGCCCACACTGGACTGGTTTACTGCACAAATGTTGAGATAATGCATGTCAAGGAGATAAGATTCCTTTCTTTGTCCTGGCAAGCAACATGTCATTCCTCCTCTTTCATTAAGATGGTACTTAGATTAATTTTCAATGCTCCCTTTGTTCAACTCCCGTGGGATGTTTAAGATCATTTGTCATATACTTGTACAGGTACAAGAATGGTTTCAATTTATTTTCTTTTTTCCTTTATTTTGTTTTTTTGCACCATACAAATAGTAATATACCAGAAACCAAGGAGGTTTTATAGGCGAATCTTCCTTTCAGAATCTGTAAGTCAGAGTGAGTCCTTGCAGCTAGTTTTGTGCAACCAAGTTTCCAAAATCCAAAGAGAATTATTTTACTATCACTGAGAGGAAAAAAAAAAGTTGCAAAGGTTCACATTGAAATCCTTTTTGTTTTCTGTTGATCAGCAGATTTATTTACCTAACTGCTGCAACTGCATTAAAGTTTCCTCTTACAAAACAGATCGGTGCACAATTTTAGAAGCTAAAGCTGTAACCAGACTTAATACGCTGTTCTTGATCTTTCAGACGAGCAACAGTCGTAAATTTAGCTTTCACTTAAAATGTGGCTGTGCCTGACTGGATGATTGTGGTTTGCAGCTTTGTTTAAAACTGCATAGTGAGTAAAATAAAGTTAATTTTAGACCAAATAACAGAAGAACTCATCAAAGTTATTTCAGAATGACTCATCATTGTGCTTCTTCCACCTAGCTTGAAATTCTTTGGAATTGCTGATCCTGAAATAGCTGTTGGCCAAAAGACCAAAAACCAAACGTACAGAAATTTCTTCATTTACTCGTCAGATGAATGGTGAACAATTCGGATTTCTAAGTCTGAAAGCAAACCAGAAGGCTCAAATGTGAAGGCTAGATAGATTAGGAATGTGCCAATCAAAAAGTTTGTTTCCTGCTGTCATGGTCTCGGATATCTGCCCACACTGACCTGATCGTGGTCTTATATTAATAGGCTGAGGAAGAATCTTTCTTTCTTGACAAGCTGTTTTGTCATTTCTTCAAGTAGTCTTCATAAATAGTTTTCCAGGCTTCTTGAAAGATATTCAAAGCTCTTCTTTGATGTTGGCTGCCTTTTGTTCCATTGTCTGTCAAGATGATCCCCCACTGCTCCAATAATGTTGAGGTCTGGGCTCTGGGGAGGCCAATCCATGACTGTTGGTGTTCCATTATGTGTTTTTCTGTCCAGGTATGCTTTTACTGCATTGACGCTGGGTTGGGGATCATTTTCATGTTGAAAAATGAAGCTGTTGCCCACTTTCCACATGGGATTGCATGGTGGATCAAAACCTATTGGTACCTTTCTCCATTCATAAGTCAATCTGTTTTAGCAAGATTTGACTGGCTGAAATGGAGCCCTAAACCATGACAGAGCCTCCACCTTGTTTTACAGATTGCTGTAGACACTGTTGTACCTTTCTCATCACCTCCTGTGTCAGTTTTAACCAAAGTTTTCACATTTGGATTCATCACTCAATAACACCTGTTGCCACTATTTAAAAAAAAAAAAAAAAAAAAAAAAAAAAAAAAGATCAGTCCTATTCTGGAGTAATTTGACACTCTTCCAGTGAAACCACTTCTCATGAGATTTTTGTAAACAGTAGATGGATCTGGCACTTGATCCATCTACATCTCTCATGTCCTGTGTCAGGTCTTTGTTGGATATGTTTTTTTTCTCAAGGACATGACATGGCAAATGCCGGTCATCTGCTATAGATGTTTCATTAAGTTATCAGTTTGTTTTAGGTTTGCCACTTCTTTAGTCCTCTACTTGTCCAGTTTCCACAAATGTTTTTAAGGTCACACTGCAAACCATGCTGAGATATGCTAAGTGTTCAGCTAACAGCTCTTTGGAAATCATCTTGTTGGTACAAAATTACTATATTATGTCTGACAAAATATGTTATCGTTGACATTTTTCATACATTTAACTAATGAAATTGGAATAAATCCAGTTTTTAGTTTTTTTTGCAACAGGCTGTGCCTAAATATGCAAAATATAAGGAAATGTATTTTGCAAATAAAGAAAGCTAAATGTTTTGCTGTTAGCTTCCTTCATGCTGTCTTAGCTCTCCAACCAGCAACCAGTGCACTGCTGCTTATATGTGGTGCACTGAAAACAAACAACTACAGAGACCAACTAGTATGTAGGTTTATATTTGGCATTTAATGTCTGAATCTAGAAGATACAAAAAATGTTTTTTAATGTGAGTTTATTAAATTATTCTGTTTTTGTCAGAATCACAAACAAAATACACTGGTGCTGGAAAGGACAGACAAGTCAGAACATATCGAAAATAGTACAAGAAGATAAGAAGTTATCTCAGTCGGCCATAGCACCACACGCGCTATATCGCTGCACAACACACACTCAGTTTGTACACTTTGTACAGACTACAATCTTCAATCCAGGTTGCTGGACACAAGCCCATAGGCATTTCAGTTTGTTGCATTAATTTATGGATTTTTAATATTTAGGTAAATATAACGAAAATAGTCTTTTTAAAGGATTCTGGAAAAATTCTAATTCAGAAAAAATAATGTAATACAAGTAATTATGAAGTAGAATTATGAACACAAGTGTAGGCCTGTCTAATGTGGATAACCTGTAAGTGGCTCATCATCCAGATAGATTAATGGCCTCACCTGTTAGACGGTCTGAGAATGGTTGCACTTAGCCTGCTTCCAGACACGGGAATTGATAGGATTAGTCAAGTAGCAGTCAGTAGCCTATGATAAGCTTAATAGTCATGTCTTATGTGTGAGTGTATGTTGTTGTTTTGTTTATTGTTTTAGTGTCTTTCTAATTCAAAGAGCAGACCAGTGTTCCACTTGTGATGTTGACTCAGCAGCAACATCTACTGCCTCTGTGACCTAGAGAGAGCGGGGAAGCAGACCCAGAAAAACATGAATGAAACGAGTGTGGTTTAAAAACAAGAAGGAAGTACAGAAATGTACAGCAATAAGGATGGAGAGGCTCACATGGTGTTGCAACTAAAACTTGTAATTTGAGCAAACGGCAGTTTCTGCTAAGAGAGTTAAAGGGCGTAGCAACAGGAATTATCCAATTTCAAAAGGCTTTTTAAGCCAAAAGACTTTATTTTTTTTCTTTAAGTAATGGGCATAGAAGCTTGCAGCAAATTTAAATTACATGGCTAAATATAAAAATTTTACATAAAATCATACAATGCTCATATGGACATATGCTATGTGTTCCCCTCTAGACACATAGAATTTTCCATACGGTAGTCAAACTCGTCCCATACTGGAGCGACTGCTGTTGTTTCAAATAAGAACTTAATCTTATGTACAACTAATTTGAGCCAAAAGCTTTGAGCATTGAGAGCAGTCTGAATCCAGTTTCCCGTAGGTTTTTCCACTTATGGCTCTGTTAGATGCTTGCTGTTCAAGCCTCATGTTTTCAAACCGCATGACTGTCGATCAGAGGGAAGCCGGCCTCAAAGAAGGGTGGACTATAAAAGCATAATAGGTTAATTTTAAGCTAAGTTAGGCAATTAATTTGTTCAAGGAGCCACAGGAGAAACTGGGACTGTTGTTGAAGATCGTACCAATAAACTGAACTCAGTTTATTTCAATATTAATTTTATCAGTTTATAAACTGCTGCTGGTAGGAGTACATGTTACAATTAGGTCTATAATGTGGCCTAATTGCCCACCCCTGTTTTAAGCACCCTTCTGTGTGCAGCTACTCAAAATAATAGCAGTACAAATAATAATTGCTTGCATTTCAATAATTTAGTTTCTTTTAAATATGAATCAGGAGCCAGGAAACTGTTGGGCTTGCTTAGCAGAAAGACTGAGAAATGACTGTGGCATAAAATCTTGCGGTTATAAATAAATTGTTTTAAAAGCGTTGGTATGGGTGGGTGCTTTTGGACACAGTCGACCTAGCCGGTTTTCTCTAGTTTCCTTCTATTAGTATTATTATTTTTATCGTCTAATTGTGTCCTGGCTGTAGAGAGTGGTGTCAGCTTAATCATCCAGCTATGAGCAAGAGTTTGCGCAATTCCCAAAATGTCAACCTATCCCTTTAAATAACCGATCATGATGATGGGTCAGCCTCATTTTCTGTAATCCATAGATGTTCTCATGGATCATCTCTGGGTATTATAAAACCATTGTGTCCTGATTCCTCAGACCCCTCTGCCCTGATTGCACAATGTAATGTAGTTATGTAAGACATTTATATGTCATCATCAGCCGCAGCAATAGCAGCTTTGACTCAGCCAGGCAGACAACAACTGGTATCTGCAGCACTAGACTAGTATTACAGTATTCAATCTCGTGAAATTGAACAATCATTTCAGATTTCCAAATACACTTTGTGGAGGTGGATCAAGTCATGATGTACTCAGACAAATGGATAAGCTGCCAAGCCAGATCTCCAGTCTCTTCCTCCACAATCGCCCTCCAGAGAGTTGCCTCCGCTTTGCTGACATGATGAGTATCTCAGGTCTGTTCCTGGCCATAGGTTATAAAGAGCGGAATTTGTGAAGTTGTAGTGTAGTGCATGCCGTTACAGCCAGTCAGTGAAACGAAGGATGAGCCTGCAG